GACAATAATTACCCTAATGGTTGCAGCCTTAATATTTAAAAAAAAAAAATAAAGGCAAACGATTTTGCAGGGAGGTGCCGGGCCAATAATATCACACTCAACCGCCAGATTTTCCCCCTCAATTAATTATTTCAATTAAGAGTGCCCAAATAATATAGGCTGGATTAGCCCCAGGAGGGTCTCTCGGTCCCAGTGTCGACCCGCAGCTGAGGAAAAACATGACTAGTCATCAGCCGGGTTCGAACATGGAACCTTGAACTCTGGAAGTCAGTCCTCACCCACTGAGCTACCTCGCTCCCTAAACTATAATTTTAAAAAAATAAATAAAACCTAATATCTATCCATCTTAATGAATGAATTTACATATCTATTTAAAAACCTTGATCGATTGCAATAGAAATTGAATTACGAACTACGAACATTTAAAATTGGTGTAATAGTCGAGTGCTTTCCATTACACACTATGACTTCTAGCTAATATATTTCGTCCTATGCATCGGTAAATGTCAACATCCGAAAGAGTCTGATTTCGTTCGGGGGTCGAAGGCATTCGATTATTATGCCAATTTTAAATAATCGTAGACGTCAGTTTCTTTAGCAATACAGCAATTTTTTTGAGTATATATGCAAGTACATTATCTTAGGATAGGATGGAGTTATTTCCGTATTTTTTTTGTAATTATTCTTTGTAAGTTATATAACTTTTAATCAGCAATCTCGGGTTGAAGCCTTTTCAATTTTACAAAAATATTTAAAATATATATTATTTTAATATATATCTCTCGCTCAACCAACAAAGGCTTTCAGGAACAGTGACGCGGTTCATTACGGTAGCGCTAGGATTTCCTGGAGTAATGTTTTTTTTTTATCTCAGATGGAGAGACAAGTCTGGTTTCGAAGTTCCTTTCCCGGCAACCTGATAACCGAAGTTTGAAAAATAATGACGAATTCAAATCCCGGTGCCCGGTGGGACTTTTAACTCGGTATAATTCCCCCGGCCTCTCCTCCAGCCAGGAAAAAACTCCGTGTAGCCTAAAAGGCAAGAAAAGGGAGATCAACAAAAAAACGGTATGTCTGTGTCTAAAGTGCTATATTATTTACATTTGTTTATTTTATTTTTTGTATATACTTTATTTATTCAATATCCTTAATGCCCTGTAGCGGAGTGGTTATTTAGTAATGCAAAAGGCACTGGCAAAGTATTTGTTTGTAAAAGTATTTGTTTGTATATATATATGTTATAAAAGTTTCTTGTTTTTACTAGATTAGTTCATAAACCATATGCATTAAAATCCCATTTGTCCTAGTCCATATATAAGAAAAACTCTTCAAATTTCACTAGAACCTTTCACATCATCCAAATCCCCTTGCACAATTCCTATCTAGTAGCTCAACGTATCCCATAGGCCGGGAAAATTTTTATCATTAGAGGCCACAGTAAGGTTAGGAAGTGGTAATGAAGCCCGCGATAATTCTTTATATTTTACCGTTGCTATTTTTATTTATCACTAAATACATAAAGTCAAATAAATTCTATTAATTTCCAAATTATCGTTGAATAATTAAATATTAATGAATTCTAACGTTTCTAGGCCCCATGTGGCCTTCAAGACCGTAACTACGTCACAGAGGCCACGATTCCTCACCTTATGACCTATCCAGACCTTCACAATCCTCCTGGAACGTTGAAACGGCAGTGGCCATGCGACCTTTTGTAATATTTATTTATTGAAAGGTTCTACTGGAATCCTGGTCTGGTTGGGAGTTCACTTGACTGTTTGTAATTGTTTACATAGGTATGTCTGTGATTAAGTTGTTATTGAAGTGAAAACTTCTTTAGGCGCATTTTCCACTTTTTTTGTTGAGAGTGTGTTGAGCCGTCAGATTTCCGATGTGTAACGCTCGGGGAAAAGTCGGCTGGAGTCGACTAATTGAAGTGTTTTTGCATATGGATTAAAATATCACAGAAATTAAAAATCAGACCTGCATACAGTATGCGAAGGAAATGTTTAGCATTTCATTCTCATTATAATCAGGCATTATTTATAACTTATATTTAATATTATTAATCTCGCCTCGATGATGTTTTCCCTTCTATCGTATTAAGCACGAAGTATAGTGTTTTTTTTAGTATATTTATTTTATTCTCAGTATTATTGTTTATATATACTTTGTATATATTGTTTATATATACTTGTTTATATATATTGTTTGTTCATACTTTTTGTTTTCAATATTATCCTTAAGGTTATTAATATTATTCTTATACTTCATGGTGTAAATAAACTCTTTTCTTACTATAACTTTCGTCCTTATTGTGACAAAATGTTTTATTATTTAATGAAATAGTTTCAACTTAAAATATAATTTATCTGATATTTGTTAAAGACACAAAATTGAGAATTATAACATAAACGATACTTATTTCTCGAAAGATTTCTCGATAAGAACAATTATCTGCTTGTTTCTGATTGTTCTAGCTCTTGCGAGAGAATTTCTGTTTTAATTGCAAAGGGAATCGAAGGTTCTGTTTTAACTTCCAAGGCCATTGAGAGGGCCATCAACTCTTTTCCAGAGAGCTGCCCAACTTAGCCAATTTAAAAAGTAATTACATTAAGCGGGATCACAGGTTCATCAGCCAATAAACATTGTAATAATAAAAAAGAATTATTAAAGTATTTCTTAAGTATTATAGAAAAATAGTTTGAAAGGAATATGTTTACATCCGATAATTTGGATATGGATAATATATTTTAATAAATGTCTATCTTCTAATTATGGATATAATAGCGAGGAAACCTGTAAGGTACAAAATAAATTACAAAAATTCAACATAAAATTCAATATTTCTTTTTAAAATTCATTTAAAGCCTTTTAAAATAATTATTATTTTAAAAGCATTAATTTCTAAATGAAATATTTTATTTAGTTTTATTGTTGTCAGGAAGTCTAATAATATCCCTGTGTAAGGACTTTAACTCACTCCAATTGCCGAATCATGCTGACTATTTCTAAATATTTAGTCCAAGAGTCAAAATTTTGTGACTTATTCGAAGACAATTTTGTCATACACGTTATAATGTCTATCCTCAGCATTCGATCATCCCTATTTGACCCACTTAAAGCGAGTGAGTTTTAAAATAGTACACATTTAAACAGAGAACAAAAATAAAAACGCATCATTTGAAGATTTTTTTTTTAAGGCATTAATAATATTGTACACTAGTCAGATATCCAAAACTATTTCTGCTGAAGTTGGGGGGACTCCGCACCTGTAAAAACTCAAAATCTATGTGTTTTTTTCGTATAATGGCGGATTTTGGAAAACATCAAAGAAACAGCTACCCCTACGAAGATAATTATCATAAATTACTTGATAGTGCACTCAATGTACACAAGAGAACGGAGTAGCTAAGCGAGTAAGGTATTGTACTGATATACTCCGAGATCGAATTCATCTGAGGTAGATTATTATTTATTCTGTTACATTATCCGTGGTTCGATAACTGGATTGGACCACCCTCCTAGGGCATACCCAACCCAATACATCTCAGCTGTTTTTTGATATATCTATTCGTATATATAAAAAAAACATTTTCTTGGAAGTAGATTTCGTTCTAAATACCAATCCGCGTCTACATCCGAAAAAGTAGTTTCGATTGAGGTGTAATAGATTAGTAATTTCACTCGGCTATTACACCAAGCTTAAATATTCGTGAAAAGTTCTAATTTCCATATCAATCTATCAGAATGTTTAAGTAAATATGGATGTACATTCCGTTAGGGTGGATAGAAATTTCCGATTTATGTAGTTACTTTTTTTTTGTAATTAATTTTTATAATTTTTTTTTTGTTTAGAGTAACAACGTAGGAATAACCAGGAAATATGATAAAATATCATTACCTTATAATTTTAATAATTCGATAATTTCGCTCAATCATGGCATGTTTCTAACGAGCAGTCAGACACAAACAAAGCTACGTTTTATTGTCTGATTGCAATTGGAAAAATAATTGGATTGAATTTCGTAGCAGAAAATAAGAATTTAAAAAAATAATAATGAGAACTCATGTACAATACAAAGAGATTTCGGAAAACGTCTGAATGATAGATCGTCATAATTTCCTCATGCATTAGTTGTAGATCCACCACAATGAGATAAATTCTTTGCAAAATTTATCAAGGGCAAATTGCAATAGCCGAGAGGTATAATATTATATGAATTTCCTATTGTAATTTTCAAAAATAATTTGATGAATTTTATTATTTCCTGGAAGTCAGTGGTCAATTTTTTATAGATCGATATCTATGAATTGATTAACTTAATCAGATATCATAACGATTGACATCTATGATTATTTAATTATTAAAAACCTTTTCATATCCCAATTAACATGAGGAACCTAGTGAAAGGTATAATAGTCCGTGGTACAGACATAAACTTGGTGGTATAAACATCCGCCTGAAACTTCGCAAATAGCTTCATCTAATAGTAACCAACAAATATTTTATTTACGTAAATTCTCGGAATCGAGGTTTATTCGATCCGGAGCACGACAAACTTTGTTTTTTTAATTAGGTACTTAAAACTCATGAATACCAATTTGCTTTAATTTTAAATCGTAAGATAATGTGGTCACAAAGTCGAAAAAAAAAAAAAGGTGTCCGACAAAAATATTGGTTCGTTTGACGTGACATCCACTCCCAAACTGTCAAAATAACGAGATTGTATAGGCCAAACACCCCAATATTTTTGTAGGCCACCTTTTTTTTTTTTTACTTTGTAGTTATATTATCTTACGATTCAAGTGGAAAGCAAATGGTGTATTCATGAGTTTTTAGTACCTAATTAAATAGACAATGTTTGACGAGCTAAGATTAAGCTATTTACGAAGTTTTAGATGTTAATAATTTGATAAAAAGTGATCTATACTACAGACTATAAATTACCAATATAAAAATCAAAATAATCTTTTAGATTAAACTTGAAAATTCTTACCTCTAGCGGTGGATTGCAAGGATCTTTGAGCGCTGGGAGAACGAACACGTGTACTTCCGTCTCTGCCTTACTCTCTTGGAAGGTGGCTTTGATTTTGGCAGTCAGGTTTGTTGCTCCTACCAACATAAATAATCGTGCGATAAGCTCATACCAAAACTTATAAGCAACTTGTAAACTTTACAGAATAACATAGCAGATATTGTTGATTGAGTTTAGTTCAGACTTACAGGGTTGTTCAATATCGCCAAACTGATCATTGTCATATTATTCTTATAAAAGCCAATTGTTACAATATACATAAAATGTGCTGAAGGTATTAATAATATGTCTACATATCTATAAATAAATTATATAGTAAAAAATTAACCTCTTTTCCTTCGCTCAGGGGTTGATGAATATTGATATAAGTATCAACTGAGTAATTTCATGGAGAAGTGACGAATGCCAATACCTTACTACGAATACAATAAAAGTCATTAATAAAGTCATTAAAAAATTAAGAGTATTCAAAATTCTTATGGTTTTCAAAATCAACAAATCTTAATGGGATTTATTGTTTTAGAGATTTCGACACGGTCATCAAGACCTTAACTCCGAAGGAACTTTACCGTGTCTTGCGTTTTAAATCCCCTAAAATGTACAATTTTGTAGATGATTCGTAATTCTTTTCGAAAGCATCGTATGTTCTTTGGTTGCCGTGGGATAATTATCAAATATTTGAGTTTGAGTTATTAAAAAATTGATATTTATGTAAGTCATCGGACAAACTGAAATCTGTTGAAAAAATAGATAGAGATAAATAGCTGTTTGATCTCCCTTGTTCATTTCGGATAATATAGCTTAGAAAAAAACTTTTAAATATTTTTGATTAGTAAAAAAAAAATCCTCCAGGTATGGCTTCTATATTTTGATTAACACTTGTCTTTTTTTTATGATTATTTGTTTATTGATAAATATTACAATCTGTCTTAATAAAGAACATTTATAATAGAGTTCTGAGAGCAAATTTACACCATATTTACAAATTAAAAAAATAAGCTAACTTCAAATAATATAAAGCTACAAAAGAACAAAATAAAATATCATAGTGAAGGAAGAAAATATAAATAATAGTAATAATAGAATGAAAATAAATGAATAAAATAGAATTAAAATTATCTTTAAAAAAAATTTAATAAAAATAAACATCTTAGATGCAGGCAAACCTATTTACACTATTTACAGTCGGCCATGGGAACTCCGAACCATACTTATCCCTCCACATGTGGAGGAAAAGCAAGGCTTCAGGAGATCCCTGCGCTTCTTCCTCAACCATTTCACTGGTATTAAAAGCCAGCAATACTATTCTACACACTTAGAAAACAACTACTAACTAAAATGCTAAAATGTATATTCAGCAAACTGAAAATATTCTCGGGAAATCCACGAACTCCTCAAGGTATCAATAAATAGTTTAGCTAGTTTTTTTAGTTCTAAAAAAAAATATATATATATATATTAGGATAATGACTTAGGAAGAAAGAAAGAAACTAACTACCTATATGAAATGGTCTTTAAGTGATTGTTGAAGTCCTATTAACTGTAATTATACGAACAATAATACTTTTAAAGATATTTGTTTTCATAAAATAAGGTTATATTTTACCATTTTGGAAGGGGGAACTTCAGCCCGAAAGCCCCCCACTCCCTTCCCCCCTGTAGATCCGCCCGTGTTTTCTGGTAATGAAAGTTTCAAGAATTTTCCTAACAAACCTGAATTTAATTAATTGATTAATTAATTAATTGTCTTGCAGCTTATTAAACGAAGAAGATTTTCTAAAAGTGGAGTATCTGTAATTAGAGTAGCCCAAATGCGAGACCGAAACGAGTCTTGGTCTTGCAAACTCAGTCTTGGTCATGGTCTTGGTCTTGCGCAAGTGTCTCGCAACAGTCTTGCAGTTACCTATTAGCTTATTACTATAGAGAAATTACTGTAATCTTTTAGCTAGGAGAAACCTAACTAAGCCCGAATGAAAAATTAGAAGAATTAAATGCAAAAGTATATTGGTTATACCAATTATTAACATATAGTAACTAACAATGTCAAGTATTAATAACTATTTTGCATTAATTTTTAATTAAAAAACAGCCTTTTTTAACAGTCCTAGTCTTGGTCTTGCAACAGTTAGGCAGCCTTGGGCATGGTCTTGTAAAGCCAAAACCAAGACCGATTTTGGGCAACACTATCTGTAGTACAGTTGTATAATAATAAGAAAAACCGCCAATAATTAATTTTTTTTTTTAAAAACCAACTTCCACTCAACAGCCTTTCTTAAATGATTTTAACAATAACAAGCTCCATTTTCATTTAAAGAAAAAAATATCTAGCTTACACTGAAACAATTATTAATTATTTAAATGAAATATTTATTTATTTATCGCTTCCTATTCATCAAAAAGCATGAATTACTTTTAAAAAACTTGGATTTGCTACTTTTCTGTTGAGAATTGGCTCATTCCTTATATGAACTTTTTTGTAAGTCTCGAGATCGAATATTACTCTAATAAAAATTTCCATCTACATACGGAACACCATTTAATATGTAATCCAAAACTCAAGAGACACAATAAAAATGTAATGAAGAGAAGAAAAGTTGGGCTGGTCAGTCAAAAAAGAAGGCAAAAATAAATGATAATATTTATTTTTACATATGCCGACGTTTCGACCTGAAGTTTAGGCCTTCATCAGGGCTAAGAAAATAACAAGGTATGAGAAACATAAGTAGTGATGGTAAAAAAAAATAAAAATAAAGTAAAATGAAATTGTTAAAATAATGACAATAGTTAGAAAAGAAATACTAACTACAATGTATATTCAGCAAACTGAAAATATTCTCGAGAAATCCACGAACTCCTCAACGTATCAATAAATAGTTTAATATAAATAGTTGCCTTCTTTTTTGACTGACCACCCCAACTATTCTTCTCTTCATTATTCACGACAGTCAACCATTTACCAATTAATAAAAATATAATCATGATATATTTAGACTGATTCTAATGACAACATAAATAACCAAGCAATATATTTTGACTAATTAAAATAACTAGACCACTGCTTAAAATGTCTTATTAATGTTCACTAGAAAAATCGAAATTTTAAACAAATGGCTTCTTCATTTTACACGATTAGAAAATACGGTTTCCTGAGAAATATTATTTTATTTAACTCCTCATAATTATACCCAGGACAGAAATTTTCATTCAGAGGAATTGCATTATCTGATGAGAGTTCTCTTGTACTAACAGATCTTTACCATAGCACGCAACCGTTAGCGGGTAATTATTTTAATGGAGGGTCATTATTAACGAGATTTTCATGGAATTTTTGTAGTCCAGGAAAACATTGGTTGCTCAATTGCAATGGCCTTGAAAAATTCAGTAAAGTAAAATGTATGGCATAGATAAATTGCATTAGTTTAACAATGCATGCAAGCAAGGTCTTAAATATGCATGTTTATTTAAGGATAATAAAAATAAAGGGAGTTACGATAAGTTTGAGCCGATGGCAAAAAAATGTCTGCAGAGAATACATTTTTATTTATAATAATCCTATATATTATTTCTAAAAGGTGTTTTATTGTCGGTACGCTATAAATTCGTCAATTCTTCATCAAATCCAATGATTGATCACTCATTTTGAAGATATTCTTCTCCTTCACATGCGAAAAAAAAATCTCATCTCCCCGAAATTTCTGGAAAAAAAGTTATGGAGGAAAATAAACTTTATTTGCGAATAACTCAAAAAAATGCATTTTTTCTGGAGTGTACACATGAAAGATTAGTAAATTACCTACAAAACAAAAAAAAATTGGACAATTATTAACAAAGATACATTCCATTAGTTTTGGTATACTTAATAATGTCTTCCTGTTTAAATATATTACATTTAGGAGTAGAATAGTCTACTGTATTTTTTTTACTGGATTTTATATCAACTTTATTATTTCTTAAAGACATTTCGTTGTTCTTACATTTTATTTTTTTTAATAATTTAGAATATCCTATGAGCGAGGTATTATTTTGTCTTTATTACTTTTATTTTTCCAGCAAAGCAATTTGTACAAACATTTTGGTCTATTATGTTTAATAGAATATTGTAATCGACTAAGGAAAAAATATTAATTTCTTCCTTACATAATACATAGGAACTATTTATTTCCATATTGTTTTGCTATTTCTTCACTAAACAAAATTTTCTGCGAATTTTTCGCACGGGCCAACTAGTGTTTCATAATTATATCATGGCAAAATAGTACGATCTTAATTCTTTTTTAATATATTTGGGCGTGATATTCACTGGACGTTTTGATAATATAGATAAGGGCTCCAAACGTTAAAAAATCACTTAATTTATATATTGGAAGATTTTGTTTTTGCTATTTAAAAAATAATTGTTTTGATTGTCTACAAATTAAAAAGAATAATGTAAAATCATGCTTAAAATCTATGTTGCAAAGAGAAAACTAAAAAGACAATTAATTTATCACGATTTAATGCATTCATGAAAAAGGTGGTGAAGAAAACCATATCCATTTTCGTATTTGTTCATTGGAGCCAATTTTCCATAACTTGAGTACTTAAAATTTGTTTCTTGATTACAAAATTATTTAATAAAAAAATGAACTTGGGCGTCTTTTATCTCTGGGGCACACATATATTCTTAAAAATTCAATTTAAATATGAATGTGTGTTTGATTAATTTTATTGAGAAAAGCCAAATTTGGTTTATAAATATTGAATATACAAATTCATATTTTAATACATATTCAGTTTATAAAATTGCCTCATCCTGTTCCTGCTCGAAATAACCTGTGCCAATTATCAAGATGGCAGTCAGTAACTACTTTTAAGGGGTCAAAGAATTTTTGATAAAATATTTAATACACTTTTTAATACTAAAATAAGCTTAGAGCTAGAAAAGAGGCATCATGTGATTATATTATAAATGGAAAAATCCAAACAACAAATATCCAAATATAAGGGGGAATAGTTAACTTACCAGCGTTTAGTCAAAACCAAGATCATATATATGCAGAAAGAAAAAAAAAGTATATATATATATATATATATATAT